AGAGGGGTTTGTGGAGCTCCTGGGTCCTCTCCGATCTCCTCAGGAGCCCGCGGACTGCCAGTATTTGAACAATGATTCTAAACAGTTAAACTACGAGGACCCTTACGATGCAGAAGAGGGCACTGAAGAGGAAGGTGTAGAAGAAGGAGAGGTTTTTCTGAGAGAGGAAGAGGAGCAGAAGGAGGCTGTAGTAAAGGAAGAGGAAGAGCAACAGGAGGAGGAGGAGGGTGGTGTCTTTGTAGTGGCACTGTATGAGTTTCGGGCCATGGAACCAGGCGAGTTGGACTTTGATATGGGGGATCGCATACGTGTTATAAACACTTTGGAAGACGGTTGGCTGGAGGGGGAGCTTCTAGGGCAACGTGGTATTTTTCCTCATCGTTTTGTCAAAATAGAGGACGATGGGCAGAAAACTGCAGAGGAAACAAATGCTGTTGAACCAGAAGAAGACAAGGAGAACAGCTTTACTTCTGAACACAGCTCAGATCGTTTATGTCCCAACGAGTCAGAGAATGATCCTGAATGGAGGCCATATGAGGATCATACAGTGTGGGACCTGGACTACTTTGAGAGGACTGAGGAGCAGAGGTGGCAAAGTGAAAACAAACATACAGGAGCTCAAACTAACAACAGAGTACAGAGAGATGATGGTAGCAGGCCTGACTGTCAGCCGCGTAGACCTGTTGCTCCAACACAAAGAGGGCCCGAGAGACCCAAATCCACTCCTCCAGCAAGGCCCAAACTCCCATCTCGGCCTAGCCTGTCTACACATAGCCATAAGCACCATGGACCATCTTCTGGCACAAATCAGTCTAACTTTACTAATGGTAACACTCGATCCTTACAGACCAAACTAACCCATAGCCTAACCCTCCCTAGCACTCAGCATGGTTGGTCTAAAGACAGCAGATACTACCAGAGGCCACCAACGGATAGTGCCATCACCAATGACAGAACTCCCAAGCTTGGCCAGATGTTATTTAACCTTGCTGAGGGCCATAAACAGAAGAAGCTAACTCGCCACTCTAGTGTCAGTGATGCTGATATGATGGGCAGTGCTGAGACACGGCAACGTTCCCAGCAGACGGTGCGTGGCTCCAATGGTATAATGCCATCATCCATCACCTTAGATGCCCTTGTAACCTCAGCTGGTGACCTGGAGGCCAAGCTAACCCAGCAACTTTTTGAATTTGAGAAAAGCTTGACTACTTCATATAGTGATACTAACAAGAGTTCTGGTGCTCCCAGGGACACGTCTTCTGTTGGTGATCTGAGCCAGCAATCCCATGTCTCTCGCCACTTTTCTATCCTGGAGTACAGTGATGAAAGCGATATAATTCGAGGCTCCTCACATTCACCACTGTCCCACCTCTTGCAGTCGAACTCTGCCTCTTCCTCACTAGAGAGGCGCAAGAGCCTTCGCCCTCCTCCTCCTCGTCCTAGAGTCCTTCGTCCCCCAGCCCCACCTGCATACAAACCAGCTCGCCCTGCTCCACGGCCCCCACCTCGCTGCCCGAGACACAATACTGCTCCTCCAACCAGCAGCCACATCTTCTACACCCCTGACGAACCAGCTATAAACACCATCAACCAAATAACAGAAGGGCAGGCTGAGTTTGGTGACCTTGCAGCTGCCCAGGAACATGAAATCCAGTGCCAGCTGGAAGCCGAGAAAGAGCTGGAGAGAGAGATGGAGTTGGAGAGGCAGAGGCAGAGGGAAGAGGAGGAAAAGTACCAGCTGCTGCTACGGCTACAAGAGGTGGAGCACGACATGGAGGCATATGCACATACAGCGGAGGAACTCAGGACCATGTTGGAGGAGGAGGAAGACGAGACAGCCCGCACGCAAGCCATGGAGAATCTGGAGTTCTGCAACTACACACTGGAGACACTGGCCCTGGAGCAGCATCAGCTACAAGGTAAGACTTATAGGCAGTGGATTGGGAGTGGGAGAAGTATTTAAGTAAGTAAGACATTTTATGCCTTTATTAGATAGTATCGACATTAGAGATATTGGAATAACATGCAACAAAGGTCCCAACATGGAATAAAGATGAAGACATTACGATTAATTACCTTAAACCCCTAAACCCCCAGGATGCTCTTGCACTGGGAGCTGTATGAGTCTTTCATTGGAGCCAACAGCAGACGTTCTAGAGGTAACGATAACATCATAGAACTAATGGGAGGGTTTTGTCATCATAAGTGCAAGAGTTTAAAATAGATAAATAAGAGATAAAATAGAGATGAGCAGCTGAATAGAGCTGCAACGGTTAGTTGTTAACTGTTGCTGTTGCAGCTTCTCCAATGTGAGGATTTGCTGATCCCCTGTTTTCATTGTAAATTAAAGATATATAGGCTTTTAACTGTAGGTCATACAAAATAATTTGAGGAAATCACTGTGGACTCTGAACGACTAATCAATGAATCAAAAAAATTATCTGCTTAGAATGCCAAACAGATAATATATTTGTTGATCAGTCACCAGTAAGTATGTACAGTAAGTAAAATGTACTTTTTTTATGTTGATATGAACATTGATATTTTATTTTATTTTTCTATTTAAGAAGGGTTATAATAATTTCTAAACGGCATCTCACTGTTTTGTAGGTATTGGTCAACATGGTTATATTCTATAAACAGATTTATGTGAGCAAGCAAGTAGCTTTTTAGACAGAAACAATACAAAAGACAAGACAAATAAAGTAGAATTTCTTTTGCTTGATGTCACGGTCCACTTCTGAGGCTGTGTTGCCTGCAGGTTAGATTAAAGAGTAATACCCATTCACTGAAGACAAAATGTAATATAGCAGGAATCTAAAAATGAGCCATCAGTGCTTACCAGATTTCCTCTTTGATTTGTTATCCCAATCCCGACACACACACACACACACACACACACACACACACACAGTCACAAGTTATTTAAATTCCACTGTAAACTACAGTATGCAAACAAGACATCCCTATTTACTGTCCACAATGATCAGCGGAAGGAGGATAGTGTATTGAGGGTGTGTTTGTGTGCGTGTGGAGGAATTTGCTTTGTCTCACTACACTGCTTATTTTGAAAAGTATAGCAAATATGGCAGAATCAGCATGTTGCTGCAGGGTTTAGGTGGAGTAAAGGGAAATGAACTTGTCCAATACTGAGGTAAGTTTAGTCAGGTACTGTTTCAATTGAATTAAGTTTTTATAGTTATTATTAATAGTTAACGGTTTTCACATCATATTTGGCATGACTGATTTATCCTTTTCAATCTGCAGTAAACTGTTAAAACAACAATTGTTCAAGTCTGAAAGGTCACACAATACCAACAACACAATGATTCCATTAAAGGTGTTTTTTATCAAATATATTGCAGATTTTATCTGTAAACAATTGAGAGACAGATTCAGTAATTGTGAACACTGACATTATTTTCTCCCCAATATATTTACATATATCAAATATAATAGTTATGTATTATATTTGTTTTTGCCATCTCATACTGTCAGGGTTCACACTGCTGTCTTTGGCAGCCCAACACTTTTTCACATAGGTACGAGGTGCATTCCTGCGCATAGTGAGAGGGTAGGCAATGCACGTGGACCTTTTTCCACCCGCTCTCTTTCTTCTACTCCCTCTTTCGCTATCCAGATTTCCTACCTCTTTTGCCTTCCTCACAGTTTCCCTCGCTCTGAACCTTTCATCCTTTTCCTCCATCATCTGTTCATCTTCAAAAGGAGTAAGGAGAGGCAATACACTGGGTGTGGTTTGGGGGATTTTTGCAGTAGTGGATAAAGAGAGAGCATGGCCCACTCTGGAGCGGGACCAAAAGTCTGGTTGTGGCGAGCCGTGACGTGGCCTATGGCACACCTCTCCACATTGTTTGGACTCGCTCAGGACGCCAGGTCAAGCAGAGGGGCAGGTAGGCTTGAACTCAAGATGGTGTTTGTCAGGTTATTTGTCAGACCCTTTGACAGTCAGTGCTATGTGGACCGAGCATTGTTCCTGTTTTTCAACATTACTTTTGTTAATAGCCACAGCTTGGAGATGCTTGCTACAGCAGCAGTTCTCTACTCATTGAGTCAGTGCAGCAGTTGGCGGTTTTATTGCCTTGCTCAAGGGCATGGGCAGTACTTGACTTTACCTGTTTGGATTCAACTTGTTATGATATGAGCAGGGAGGATATATCAGCTAGTTTTAATTTAAAGCTTGGAATAAAAAACTAAACATTTACACCCATTTTTTCCTCTTTTCTGTACTGTTTGTACCATGGTATCTATCAATTTAATGTCACTGATTAGATTTCATATGTTGTTATATAATAGTTTTCTTACCGTTTTTTCTCTACCTTTGCACTTTCCATAGGGGTGTGTGTAGTCTCCTATAATAAAGTATTATTTAACTCTGCTCATATTTTTCTACTCTGTGAGTAGCATAACTCTCCATCATGCAGATCAAAACCACCTGAGTTATGTGTTTGTGTCAATATATCACTTGTATTGCATTGTGATGTTTTTTTTGACAATGCAGGATGATGATCTCAGTTTCAGTGCGGTGTGCAGATTGACTTTAGCCTCTGGGTGTATTAGGCCCAATGTGGGAAATGTTGCAAATTGTCAATGTAATGAATTCACTTGATATTTTAGATATTTAATTTGCTGGATTAGCCACTCTCTTCTTGTTGTTTTTCTGTTTCAGTGCTGATTTCCTATCTGTACACCTTTCCGACAGCAGAGCTGACTATTTCTCACGCACTCACACTTACACACACACACAAATGTTCTTTAGCTGATTACCTGCCGTTTCCTTTCTAGTGTTAATGTATCTCATTTTATGCTGTAATCAAAGTTTCAGTTGTATTTCATCCTTATTGAATTAATTTATTTACACAGTTGCTCAATGATTGGCAAAGAAAAACTGATTAGTCTTCCAAAACAAACACAATTGAGGCTATTGTTCATCTGCTCTAAGCTCATCTTTTCTAAGGTAATCTGATTACTACCGGATGATTCTATTCTAATTGAATACTTTTCCTTTAATCTTGGTTGTCATTAATCTAATTATCAGTAAATGCCTGTGTTTATTGTTTCTATTTTTGTTCAGTTGTTTATGTCCTGCTAAATTTTATTAATGGGTCAGTGGGTGAATCCCTGATCCCTGAAGGAAAGGAAACAGTCAGAGGGCAAAAACATGTTCTACATGTGACTCAAAGGGTCATGCAACCACATAGTTTCTATTCACTCATCACACTACAGCTATTCTCACACCCTCCATTCACAATAACAAAATCAAATGTTCAATCAATGTTTTTCCTTCTTCTTCCTTCTTTCTTTCTCCTTTGACATTTGCCACACTGTTAGATGTGGAAATTGACTAAGATAGTGACTAATGATTTGTAAGAGTTGAGATTCAGCATCTGGAAGTGAAAAAAAGCCAAGCACACTGTCATTGCAGAATCTTTTAAATGGTAATTATCAACATGTTAGTTGGACAGAAAAGCTTTTTAGCAGTAGTAGGATATTATGTTTCCCTTTGTTTTCCCTTTTAATGCTTAGCTCATGGAAAAGATCAAACATAGTCTCAGGATATTTGTTGCATGTTTGTCTATTGGTCCTCACATGAACACACACACACACACACACACACACACACACACACACACACACACACACACACACAGTGTCTGAGACTTCCATGCTTTTGCAGGGTGTGTTCCTGAATGTGATGTTTGAAAGACAATGGCAGCTTATTGTTACTAGGCAGGGAGCAACTTCAACATTAGGCTCTGCCTGCACGTCACTGTGCAGAGCACAGTTCAAAGTCCTCAGACACTGAAACAGGAGTGATACTAAAGCACAAAACAACACATGCTCACAGAGTGTGACTTATATCTCTGGACAGCTTTAAATTTTTGTGCTAAATTTAAGCCTTTGTCTTTATATACGAGAGAGAACATTAAAGTGATAATCTGCGTTAGTTTTAAGGTGAGAGGAGTGTTAAAGGTTTCGTATCCTGTCTGATTATTATATTTATGTACAAGTTATGCCCTTGTGTGTGCATGGCTGTAGGCTTCTTGGAAATGGTTGAAATCAATATCACAAAATGAATAACAACATTTTTCTGCCCAGCCCTACATGGCTTTGGGACAAAAATTATAGTTTCACTTTGGCAGAAAGTGACAGAAAGTTGCAAAAATATAAGGTTTTACAAATGTATAATACATGTCAGTGTGTGTGTGCCTGTATGTGTGTTAGTCAGGTAGGCATGTAAGTGCATCATGTGATGACTGATAATAAGTGGGTCATATAAAATGTATATCAGTATAGAATGTGCTCAGTGTCTCACTTTTTCACACACACTAGTGCAGGGTTTTCTCTACCATCTTTACAAGCTCTTTGACCTTCAGCCTCCTTTAATTCTTTAAACCCACCATTCAAAAAGCCTCCATCAGCATCCATGACACCGCAGCCTGATCTATTTAACACTGTTTTCAGGATCTGTTTCAGCTTTAGGTTTCCCTCAGTCAGCCTTACAAACTGGGCGACGTCTAGGCTGCAGACGGTTTGATATATGACCTTATTGCTGGACATCACACCACTTTTTCTAGATGAGCTGAATGTCAGTCAAGACACAGTTTCATTTAGCCTTAAAATGCCAACAGCCATGGAGAGGAATGTTTTATTTGACATTCCAGCAGTTGACACACATACACAAACACACAGTTTCGGTTGTGTTCTGCTGCTGAAAGCTGAGATGTTGAACGATGATAATTAAACAGCCTCACCTAAGTAGACAACAAAGTACATTAGTAAGATTTCCAAGCGCAGCCTTACCTTGTGAAACTGCCTGTGTACATTATAGGTTTTGGCCTGTGTACTACACACACTGTGATGTGTTTTCTTTACAAAACAAAGAAAATAAATCCTGTCA